AAAAAAAAAAAAAAAAAATGTTCATTTAATATATCAAGGTCAATAAAATAAGGGACAATTTTTTTACACCCTGACCTGAAGATATATTAAGTTTTTCACCCCGCTCGTTAACAATTTAACTTTTTCATTTTGAAATATATGAAGGTTATGCAAATGGTTCATATAACTGTCGTACATCAATTTCATAACTGTCTCAATGTCACTAACATAATTATCACATAACACCTTTCGCACATTTAAAAAAAAAAATTAACTTATGTTTTTTTTTAACAGTTTGAAAAACTTCTTCAGCTTTCGGAAAGGATTGTAAATAACTATTTTCTCATAAAACAAAGTGATTGTCACAAGAATCTAAAAATACAAATAATTTGAGACGAAGATAATAAATTTGGACCGGGATATATTTTCTTAATTACTGTTTCCTACCGAAAGAAATTTTCCTTTAATTGTATAGTTATTTGGCTAAATAAATCTATAGAATATTATTTCTAATATTATTTCTTTAATTGTATAGTTATTTGGCTAAATAATCTACAGAATATTTCAAGAATATTTTAATTAAACCAACGTTACATTTAGTTTGGACGGGGTATATTTTCTTGATTACTGTTTCCTACCGTAATCAATATTTGTTTCTTATATATAAATAAATTTATAATTATTTGGCCAAAAAAATCTATAGAATAAAATATATTACCCCATATCAAGGTTTATTTTCCATATTTACAACATTTTGACTATGGATAGTTATACACAAAGTCACAACCGAACCGACTAAGCCAAAATTTTAATAAAATCCTAAAACTATATAAATAATCAATGATTTTTACTTATCTTCATCCCTCTAAATTATTAAAAATTATCGAAAAAAAGGAAGAAAAAAAATGGGCTCGAACTCGAACCTTCCCAAGTTACTCTCAGCCCTTATTTTGCTGACCGCGGTTCTGGAAACGACGTCGCAGGATTGCCCCTACCCGTGCTACCCTCCGCCGATCGGTCCCGGCGACAACCCGACCCCGATTACCACGCCTCCGCTGCCCACCACACCGCCGGCCTTTTTCTCGCCACCGGTTTCCCCTGCTCCTCCGGCGTGGTTCAGCCCGCCGTCGCCGACTTATTTCTTCGGTGGTGCTCCGCCGCCGCCCAATACGGTGGTGCCGTGGTGGCCGTATTTCTCCCGGAATCCGCCGCATCTGGATTATTCTTCGTCGCCGCTTCTTATAGGACCGACAAAAACTGTAGTCGTGGCTGTGTTTTCTCTTCTTGTTTGTTTTCTTGGACTGCAGTAATTTTGATTCGCTTTGAGGTTCTTGTAAATTTACTACGAAAGATATTATTAATTAGTTAATTTTATCTTTAATTGTCCAACTTTTGCTTCTTGTTGTGTCCTTGTTTCTTTCTATGGACGTTTAATTTATCGGCTAAACTTCCAGAAACAGAAAAGGCGCTATTGTTGAAAAGTTTAATGTCTTGAATCTATTAAATGGAATATAAAATGTAATTAACAGACAAAATTCAAAGTATCAAATTTTTTAAATAAATTAAAGTTAATTTTTTTTAATAGATTTTTCATATAAAAGTTCATATAGAAGTATGTTTATCTTATGGTTAAAGTAAAATAATGAACCGGTTGAAGGATTTTGAATTTTGGTGTGTGGATAATGGTATTGTTCATTAATGTTTGGTTCATTATTTGCATGAGCCCCGCCTTGCTGGGATATTTATGACTTTATTTATACAGTTGGGATTAGGTTAGCTGGAGAAGATTCACTGTTTATTATTTTTGCACGCTCTAGATTTTCTTTGAGGAGATTGTAATGTCCGTTTGTTTATGAACATTTGGAATTATTTATTTTTGCATTATTATTATTATTTATATTAAATGTCTAATTGTTATTAATTGTTTAAATGATTATTTGACTATGTGCAAATGTGATTATTTGATTATGTGACTAATTTATTTGAGTATGTGCTTAAGTGATCTTTTTAATGGTCTATATGCTGATTGCTTATGTCTTCAATTTTTAGTTTATACCTAAGTGCCTAATTTTATTATGTGCCATTTTATATTGCCTATATTGCATATAATTATTATTAAATGTCTATGTTGTTATGTGATTGTTAACAACGATTGTGGATATGATGAGTTACGTAATTTGAGTATTTTGGACGTTAAACATGCAATCAGAACTCAACGGTGGCCTCGGTCCGAGGTGAACCGAGGTGAAAAGCTACAGTGAGCTGTTACGTGTTTCATGTTAAGATATTCGGTTTGGGGATCCCCGTACAAGTATCAGATGCTTGTTATTTATAGTAACTTTTTTCGGATACATATCGGGATTTTTGCGATGCCTTTTTCATAAAGTTACTTTTTGGTGGGCGGCATTGTCAGCGGGCCCCACTTGAATGATGAAAGATCTCGTGGTTCGTGAAAATGGCGTGTAGGTGCCTTGTCACTAGTTTAGGAGGTGGTGACATAGGTTCGTAGAGACTTCGGTTTATGACCTCGGTTTTGGGATGACCTCGGTGTGAGGGTCACCTTGGCCTTATATAGCTCGGTCGGTTCGGTATGCGAACCAGGATAACTGTTGACCATGTCGTTGTTGGTAATAATCCATCTAAAACGCGATTTGAGGCTAATAACTTCGGATTACCGAATCGGATGATAATAGAGAGGCCCCCAGTATCGGCGAGCATACGAAGTGATGTTCGTCCGTACCGCAAAACGAATAGAGACTCCGAATCGGTAATAAGCTGTAGGGGGAAACGCCCATTCTGATGTGCTTGTATGTACGAAGTGACCGGAGTGGGTTATATAATCCGGGGTGAAGAACATTTTCCGAAGTGAGGACACTTTGTAATATTTCAACAAATTGCTGGCAGTGATAGAGATAATTTAAGGAGACGCAACGGTCGGATATTAATTGGGTAGCGTGAAGGGTCGCGCCGTAATGGTATTAAATGAGATAACGACCACTTTAATAGGGTGCCACGTGTACAGTAGGTTCTGTCAGATGAAGGGGTTGCGCCGTTTGAGATTAGGGGTCGCGTCGGTTGCACGCGCCCCTAATTGAGAACCCTAATGGTCGAAAATCGGGAATTATAAATAGGGCCCTGAGGATTTTGATCAAACTTTCTTTGCTTTTACCTTCACTTTCAAATTCTTGCTAACAGTGTTCTTGTTATCGAATTTCTTGTGCAAAATCGAGAGTTGTTCTTTGTGTGTGGTTGTCTGTCTGCGAATTCCTTGGTAAGTTTTGTTGTTGATTTTTTGCCTATTTCATTGCATTGCATCTTTCTTTCAATATTATGGCGTCGAAGGGAAAAGGTAAAGTTGTGGCAAGTTCCTCCAGTACCGAGTCGGTTCCGTTGGAGGTGTATCATGATTCAGAATTAGTTGAATTGGCTTTCGAGTATCATCAGTGGGATCCGATGTTGGTGAGGCATCTCGATATCAAACCGAATGACGAAGACGGTGATATTGTAGTGGAGGAGAACGCTGCGGATTTAGAGGGGCACTGGAGGAGGCCGGTGAGGAAGTGGACCGATCCCAAAATAGATTTCGAAAGGTGAGCCCAGTATTTTAACAGATGCCGATGTAGTGATGCTCCGGGAGCAAATCCAGATTCCACCCTCGGTGAAGATTTTTGCGCCTTATCCAGGTGAAAGAATAACTAGCCCTCCTCCAGGTTGTGTCGGTGTATTCGCCGAGAGTTTGAGGTCGGGGTTAAGATTCCCATTGCCGAATTTGATTACGGAGTATCTTCAAAGTTGGGGCTTACCCTTGTGCCAAATAACACCGAATAGCTGGAAGAAAATTATCGGTTTAATGGTGTTGTTACATGAGAGGGGTGAGGGTTTGCCGTCGTGTGAAGAAATAAGAAGCATTTATGCTTTTAAGAAGAGCCCGAAGAGGAGAGTGGCGGAGTCTTCATGTTGTTTCTTTGTCGGAGCAAAGCCTCAACATGGTCTTCAAGTCGGTGAGATAATAACCGACATCCCAGAAACCCTCCACGGTTTTCAGGAAGAATAGCTGTGGGTCGATGGGGCATGGCAGTCTGAGAGTTTTTTTCATGAACCTCGGATCGACGGGATGACGATTCCGATGTATATTCATTCAAGAGCGAGTGAGTTTATTTTGTTATTCAGTCCCTTGATGTTTTTCTGATATCGGTTTTGTTTTGTGTACTAACAGGTTGGTACTTTTCCTGTTTGTAAAGAAGGAGACGAAACAGAAAAAACCAAAACTCAGTCCGAAATTTGGTGGGAAACTTCTTGTACTTGCTGACCTTGATAAAGATATCCGAGACTACAGAAAACTTGTGGTAGATTCGAAACTTGAAGCTGCTGGTCTATCTCCTGGAGTCTCGACGTCTGAGTTTGAGCCCGGTAAGAGAAATTTGACATTCTGTATCTTATTAGTATTTCGATATGTACGAAACAATTATGACTGACTCTTCGGTTTTATGTCTTTATACAGTGTATTATCCGTTACTCGGATTTTCCGGATTCCGAACTATTAAGGACGCCAAGGATTTCTGGCGTAGTTATCCGAACAAGGATCTTCAGTCAAAATTTGGTAAGAGTCGAGATTTGCGATTGACTGACGCTATGAGGCAAGATTTAGTTCGTGCTTTGGTGAAAAGGACTGCCGGTAAGAAATCTTCTGACGTCGGAGCTGGTGCACGTCGGTCGTCGATTTAGAGAGTTCAAAGTCCCAGCAAGAGGCGACTTCTGCCGAAGTACCGCCAGTCATAAATGCTCCAGCTATTAATCAGGCCGAGCCAGAAGAAAATCTGGCGAGAGACAAATTAGCTCTGGCAGAACCAGTGCCAACCGAGGTGCCAGTTGAAGAACCGGAGAGGCAGCAGTCTCCTCCAAAGTCACCGGAGAAGAAGAAAAAATGAAAATTGATAAAAATGTCTGCTGTAGAGGCTTCTTCCGGAGCAGAGAAAAGATCGAAAAAGAAGCATGACTCCGGTCGTCGAGCTTCAGAAAAGATACTGATGAATCTCATTTGTTCGAGAAGTCGTTTTTATTGATCGACGAGGAGAGGGCTGCAAATGTGAAGGTGCCCAAGGGAGTAGTGGAGGTGTGGTTTACCACCTTTAAATCAGTCAAGACTCCTCATATGTCTTCGTGAATTGAGATGCCAGAAAGTGCTAAAAATGCAGCTCGGGTGCCTCTGATGGTGTGGGACCCGAAGTCCGAAGTGGGAGTTTCTTCTTTGTCAAATGTTGACAAGCTTAACTATGCGAAAGCTTGCATGGGTCGGGCGTTGGTGAGCTTGGTCGCGGCTGAAGATGACCACGGCCGAATAGCCGCGCAACTGGAGGGAAAAAAGCATGTTGTAGCTGAGCGAGACGCGATAATCGTATCTTCGAAGGATGAGGCGACTAAGGTTGAGGCCGGCTTGAAGGAAAAAATTTCCGAACAAACTTCACAACTGGAGGTGGCACAATCAGAGATCTCGGCGTTATCCGAGGAGAAGAAAGCTTTTCAAGCCGAGGTGGCAGAACTTAGGGAGCGCCTTGTATTTGCTGAACAACACTCTAAGATGTTGGAAGTCAAGGCTGAAGAAGCAGATGAGAAACTGCTAAAAGAAAACGCTGAGCATGAGGGAACCCGTAAAGAGTGTATAGAGGTTCGTGAACTTGTGTCTCGTCAGCGGGATGCTCATCAAGCGGAGATGGCCAAGCTGGAGAAAGAAAAGCCCGCGTATGGCGAGACTATGTATGAGATTGGTTTCCAAGCTGGGAAGGATTCAATTGCCGAGGTCGCAACTACTCAAGTCGGTGAGGATGCCGAGGTAGCGGTCGCCGATACCGGCGTGAATGATGAGGTCGGCCCCGATCTTGAAATGGAGATGAACACATGCATCAATCTTCGCTGGGTGATTGAGCGTTTTGATAACGGCCTTTATGACACCGACGAACTCCGACATTTTCACTTCCTTAAGCTCGACAAATATAATTTCGCTCCAGAGATAAAGGGAATGCACATCGAGGCCGATGAGGATGAAAAGAAGTTTTGCGAATGGATGCTCCGTCGGGCCGAAGAGATGACAACAAATCCAAATTTGCCTCCTCTTACTGAAGAAAGGGCTGCTCTTCTCCGTCGTGCTTATGTCAATATGATTCTTGAAGGGGAGAATGAGAAGAGAAAAGAGCTGGCAGACATTTATGTCACGACATGACTCTCGAACAGATTCGAGCCGCTGTTATGGCGTATATTGAAGAAAAAGCCAAGTCGACAGACAGAGAGGTCGAGGTGACTGAGGTCGTTTCTC